ACCCCCACACAGGAAGCCGCCTCACAGCCACACCCCCACACAGGAAGCCGCCTCACAGCCACACCCCCACACAGGAAGCCGCCTCACAGCCACACCCCCACACAGGAAGCCGCCTCACAGCCACACCCCCACACAGGAGGCCACATGGCTGTTCCGCTTAGAGAATGCAGATGCACTGGAACCAGGGGTAGATTTACAGCCATGACAGGTTCTCCTGCTGTGACCTAAGCTCCTTACAAATACTGTCACAATTCTGCGTGCGATTCATCCCTCAGAATAAAGAGCTGTATGAGTGCAGCTTTGTTTGACAAAGTGTCTCCCTTTGATGAGAGAACGCTCTTCAGTTCCTTCCTTCCATTCTGTATCATGTTTATATTAAAACGATTTAGTCGATTAAGCATGTATGTACAGGCAACGCCCAGGTTATGAATGAGATCCACTCTAATAATAATAATAATAATAACAACAATAATATTAATAATATTAATAATAATAATAATAATAAAGTAACTACATATGATATTGTACTGTACCTTGAGTCGACAATCAGCTAAAGCTGCATTAAGTTTCCATGAGGGTCGCATAGTAGTGTGTGTCCTTATGAACCATTGTACAGTGGTACCTCGGTTCTCGAACTTAATCCGTTCCAGACTCCGGATCGAATCCTAAAAATCCTAAAAAGTTCTGATCGAATTTTTCCCATAAGAAATAATGGAAAAGCCCCCTAAAATTACACCTAAATATGCTTTTTTTTTTTTTTTTTTGCATTTAAACACAAAATGAACAGGATAAAACAAGAAGAGCATTTTTTTCTTAATGACTTCCAAAACGATAAAGATCTTATCCCAACATTACTCCTGTCCTGCCCCGAGCGTCCGCTCCTTCCGTGTCCCACGCCCCCTCGTTAACCTCGTGTGGGATCCCCATGTGATCAGCTGTTTCTGGTTGTTGTCATTAGTCCTCTGTATTAAGTCTGCGTTTCAGTTTGTTTCCCCAGTCCGGTCATTGGGTGCGTTTGACTTGCTTACAGCAACGCATTCTGATCCTGACGCAATGCATTACAGTTAGATGCATTGCGACCTCTCACCCAGCTGCACAAATTGGAACTGCCTCCGTGACGACACACCTTTGCCCTTATTGGCTGAAGAGTTTAGTTACACGCATGACGTTTGTATCCCAGGCAGTTCCGATGCGTAATCTGCTATTTCTCCCGAATATCACGTAAAGCAGTGAGAACTGGTTTTCAGTTAATTTACCTGTTAAAATAAAGTTTAAATAAATGACATAAATGCTCTAATAGTACATGTAAGTTAGTGGTTTATTTATTGTTAGTTACTGTAATGTTGCGCTGCTTTATTTGGTTAATCGTCCAGTCTGCGAAGAAGGCATTCAAGTAAGAATTGCATTGTAGTATGACTCATTTCCTGGCGTGTACAATTTATATTAGGTCAGCGTTCACGGTTCGACTTCTGATATTCAGATCGAGTTCTAGGTCAAACTGGTTTGTTCGACTTTCAAGAAATTCGAGTTCTAGTGAGTTAGAGAACCGAGGTACCACTGTATATAACTCAAATTTTTAATAGACTAGGCTTTATGGCAGTCCGTTTGTAAGTACGAGTTGTCCATAAGTCAGACAGTTTTAACCCGGGGACTGCCTGTATACTATACTGGATCATTAAACTTGACCCTCCGTCTATGAAATAAGGCTTCTGTACTACCACTATAATTCTTTTTTACTTATATGTTTAGTTTCTAAATCCCTAGTAGCTTTGGCTGCCATGAAAACACTGACAGCCACCTGGAGACCTCAGATGAAAAGGTGCATTTCGATACTCCCACAACACATTGCTTTCTCCACACCCAAAGTGTGACATAGCTGCATACATGACTGGTAGTGCAGATGTGAGTAGTGGGATGCCTCGATAATAGCTGGGCTGCTGGTGGCTGGGAGAACGCTTGGAGACACCTATGCAATGCCGCCAGAACACTATTCGGCCTTTGGGGAACAATGTCAATTATATCAGGACACTGTGGAACTACTAGTCAAGATCAAGATGTTGATACTGCAGTCTAAGCAAAAATAGCTGTACACCACTGGCTGAATTACATAAGAATTTTGACAGGTGCAATTATTGCGAACAAGAATGCAAAAGCGGTGGTACATGTTTTCAAAGAGCTTACCTGAATTAGGCACCACCAGCCGTCCACCCAAATGTCCAAATACACCAGTAATCTTCAACTGTGTATTGCGAATAGGGGTAACCAGAGTTTTATTATAGCTTTCCATCATTCTGTAGTCCGTGTTCAGCCCTCGTGGAAAGGTGTCAGGGTAGCCTTTGACATGGTACTCCACACAATCAGTCACCCCCCGAGACACCATGAAGGAGCTCTGAACTTTGACCTTCATGTCTGTCAAAGGGTCAAAGAGGGAGGACTCCTTGTCCATGGCATCCTGGAAGCACATGGGGCTACTGTAGGTACGTTCTACTGTGAGCTCCGGGTGCGTGGCAGAGTTCATTAGAAGCGGGTTTCCTTGGGGAGGGAAAGGAGACACAATGAAACACTTAGAAAAGTCTGAGAACATTAAAATACACAGGAAACATAAGAGAAACAAAACAGCTGAGTGAAATTGACATAACCTTTATAAGCAATACATCTGACAAGCAGTAGTTCTGATTGGCAACTCAGCTTGAGAGAATAAGCACCAGTTTTGTGCAATTATTCAGACAAAGAACATGAAATAAAAAAGCAAAAGGAACAGTGCATGCAGTGAGTGATGGTATATGAATCACAACATGCTATAACAATGACATATTGTCCTTGATTTAGAAAAATGTCTGCGTCCTTGATGTCATTTCACTTTTCAGTAAAAAAAAAAAATTAAAAATCAGCCCCACAAAGACAAGGTGTCCTATCCTGTAATCGCCATGGCAGACAGACTCAAAAATCCTCATATAATAAAGAGCTGAGCTGCTCAGCTCCTGCCAGGGCTCAAATGAACTGTGCAACATGTTCCCGGCACTGCCTAGCAGGGTGTCAGCTCTGACATCCTGTACTGGAGGCTCACACTGCGCCTGCCTGCTGAGGCTCCAACACCAGACCAAGGACGTGGCTCACAAGAGACTGCTGGAGCCTTAAAGTCTGTCTGTACAAGTGTCGGCTCGTCAGGAGAGGCAGTGGGAGGTCTCTGCTTGTTTTATTTGAAAGGAAATTGTTTATTAGCATGACTGAGAGCCCCGTTTTTAAAAGTCTGTTCTGCCGGTATGGTGGAAGTTATGACATTATGACATAAAACTCTCATTATAGATCAAGGGACTATCCCCAGTTATATTTTAGACCTGTGTTGAGGAAGAAATCAGTTAGAAAAATATGATTTTGCACATAGACTGGTGCCACATGATTAAACCCAAGAAATGTAATGATTACCTTATAACGCACTGAAAAAGAAAAACATTATTTGCAAGTTAACTAGGTTATAAATATTATTGCGCTAGTAATGTGTGATGTAATCTGTCTTCACTGCTTTATTTAAAATTTCATTTGAGTTATTCATCAGACAGTTGTCGGTTGAGTAATAAATTTAAGCCGGACCATGATGTTTTTAAGGTTGATAATACAAACTATATTTTTATAATATATTCACCCAGAGTTGGACATTTTACTTCTGGAGCTCAAAAAATGTATTTCTGGATTTGTAAGGTTAAAATAAGTCATGTCACAATATCCAATCAAGATGATTCCTGTCATAATATTAATAAATGCCCTCAATGAGTAAGTGCATGTCATAGTACAAAAAGCCTCCATCCATCCATCTTCCAACAGCAGTTTCGGAAGGAAGATGAAAAATTCACCTTAGCCTATTACAGATGCATAGATCAGACACAATCTTATCGATTTCTCACACAACAGGTGACAGGTGATGCTAACGGATACCAAAGCAGCCCTGCAATGATGTTTTTCTGAGCTGGATGCCCTGTAATTAGGCCAGAATCAATACCATGACAAGGCCTCACTTTTTATTTGATATTTTTGCATATTTTTTCATTTATCATCATGATCACATAAATTCACCCAGGAACTGATGAATTATCTGGGAAATTGCCATACAACTAAAAATTAGCAATATACAAAAATTATTGGAGAGGAAATAATATAGGTAGTGCCTGGGTCGGAATTCGTACTTCTGAACAGAGTGCCATACAGCCTATTATATAAAAAATTTGAGTTATATACAATGGCTCGTAATAATGAACACACGCATTACTTTGTGACGCTTGTGAAAACATTGTACGGCTTCAGTGGTTCGTCGGCTCAAATTACAGTACAGTACTGTATGCGGTTAATTTATTATTACTGTATCATTATTTTTAGTTTTATCATTAGGTACTATATTATTATTATTATAAAGATGTTTTAGTGTATTTGTGTTTCCTAAGTGTTTTATATGCATATTAAGGTAAAATATACATACTAAGACAAATATTTGACTAACTGATGCTAAACAAGAACTGTTTGTGCCTGTTTTGCATTACATACAAATTCGACTTAAAGACAGACTGAGGAAGCGCATCTCATTCATACCTGGGGGACTGCCTGTACTGTACGTGTAGATTTTAAATGGTATCTCTTGAGTGACTGGCTAGAATTAGATTGATTGTAGCGCTGTTTTCACCGGGAAGCCCTATGCATGTACGTATGCGCTCAAAGACCTAATCCACTTTAGCACACAAACATGCAGACTTGCTATGACTAAAATAAAACCTGACAGATGTAGAGGCTGCAGATCACAGACCTTAAAATGCACAGACTGCCTTCAGAAATGCCAGTAATTAGGCTTAATCGCTCCAAACCAGTCGACCATTGGGATACAGCAGCAGGCTAGAAATTTATTAGAAAGAATTGGGAGGAGATTTGGCCATGCAGAGAATTTTAATATGACTCAGAGCAGCAAGGTAAAGAACAAGGAGCAAAATGTAAAAATATAAAGGTCTTATGAAACTTCACCTTTATTAAATTAAAAAAAAAAGTATGTGCAAAGAATAATTGTCTACATTGTTATTTTAGTACAGATGTACAGTACATTCTGTACTTTACTTGTAATGATACTATAAAGAATAATAAATTATTGAAATAAATCACAATTTAGTGTGATGTAGGTTAACAATTTAGAATATTTAGGTGTGTAAAACAGCTTCTGAATGCAGGGGGGATACACAAGTCTACCATCCACTGAGTTATCAAACTCACTTAAATTTCTTATATACTGGGACCTTTTATTTGCCAAAAAAGCATGTATGTGTGTAAGAATATGTTTTCTGCATAGCTCTACACTCCAAGCTGAAATTTCCGTATTACACTGCATAAACTTTCATGTCTTATAAACCCCTAAAATAAAACACAAAACCGCTCACATGCATAGTCCAATATATACAGAATTGATTGAAAGATATTCCCAGCATCACCGGCCCAGCCCTTCTCAGGGCCCTAAGCAAAATTTGATTGACCTAATTGTCATTTGTCATCCTTCCTATTCTGAGAGGCTGATCAGATGGGGGGTTGGGGGTGCTGGGCCCTAAGCAGCCAGTTTAAGTACTTATGCACTGGGCCGCAGTCCTGCCCAATAGCATCATAATACCCTAACTTACAGGGGGAGCTGTGACCTTCAGCAGGAGACCCACAGCATGATCTGGCTTCTGAGGATGGCATCTCCTCAGTCTCTGGAGAAAGGTTCCAGATAGACCAGTACCCTGAATTGGGTTACTGCAGTTATGAATTGGGTTACTCCCTCATATACTTAGAGTCCAGCAGAATGAGCAAATGTTCTCAATGGCATCTCACTACCAGCTAGTTTATTATCATAATGAAACAGACAATTTAACAGAGTTTTCTGTGTAAGCAACAATGTCCAAATATGTGACCCGGGGGACAGTGCACTGGGCTCTGCAGAGATTGCCCATTGCCAAAATTCAGACCAATCGAGCACTTGCATGTAGAAACATTTTAAACAATGCCTGACCACGCTTAAGCTAATATGAAGGTAAAATGTCATTATGGAGTCATGTAAATGTGTTCAGCTACAGAATACCGATCCCCCCACCAAGTTTGCAGAGAACGTATAGAAGAGTCGTGCAGTGCTTTTTCAAGCACCATACACTCTGAGTTTTATTCTAAAGTCTTACATAATGAGCTTTGATTAGTCTAAATGGGCTAAAATGTCACAGAAATTACAGAGGAACTTATGAATAGGAATTTTAGTGTACTTTTTGCAAATTTACAATGTTTGTGTTTATGTATCTTTATTTTGCTCATTGGTGCATCTCAACAATACTCATCATGCATCTTCTGCTCCACTCATACAAATGCGGTTCACCATCCAGTCATAAGTTCATATTCACATAATTAGAGTTAATCATGCGGTTAAAAAATGATTCACGGATGATTAATTTTTAAATCTAAGGAATTAAATAATCATTCATAATTATACTTGCCACAATCGACAATCTAAAAAATCATTCAGCAGATGTTTCTTATCCATACTGTTACCTTACAGAAAAAGAACTTAAGAAGTCAGAATTCAATATCCCAAGCATATTTTGTTAGAATACCAGCTTGCCCAAACCACAGCAGCAACAATGGTTGCTAATCAATGGATGCTAATCATTGTATTCTTTGGAAACTATAATTAGTATTATTCAATAAGCAATGCAAGTAATGTAGCTTAAACTTGGATTTGCAGCGTAGAAAAGAGTTTGGTGCCCAAATTCAGCAATAATCAATTTTGTGAAGCTAATACTTGGCTTATGACAGACTTACATTTCACACCAACAGTTGATGCAGGAAATAAAATGTAGCTCAATAAAAGTTGAACTCTGAAGTAAATGCACAATTTGTCTGTGATGCAAACAAAAGACTACTTTATAATACAGACTTTCAAAATAGCTCATTTGTGCAAAGCAGAGCCAGCAGGGCATATCCTGTACTGTTCATCTGGCATTACACTCTTAAAACACAATACTAGTAGCACCTATAAACCAGATGCCCAGCTATTTCCATAACGACCCTTTTGAGAGTGTGTGCATTAGTTATGCGCGCCTGACATCACAAAATCCAAACTCTTGAAACCTTTGTAAATAGAAAATTTTAGCATCAGCATCTGAAGTTGTTTTTTTTTTCCCAGGAAGAACTCTCAGTTTAATGGCCATATCTGTGTAAGGCTTGCCTCCCAGTGCTTGGGTAAGAGCGCAAGGGTTTCACAGACTCCTCGAGCTTTGAGAGTAAGAGATGTGGGGCACAGAAGAGCTTGATTTAGCCTTTTGATTTAGGCTTTAGAAGCATAGCCAGGAGGGACTGGCCAGCTTTCCACCGAGGCTATCATTACTTTCGGTAACCCAAGCAGCCTGCTACACACTGCTGCAATAATAAAACATGCTGAAATAAAAACAGGCTCCAAGCACAAAGGCACAGAATGGATGTTAACTGTTCCATTATTTTCACATTTATAGCTACAGCCATTTTGTGCATTGTAATTCCAGAGTGCCCCCCCAGGGACAGTAAGGTGTGTGCCTGAAAGGAAAAAAATATTTAATGCAATGCAGAAGATGCCATTAGTCGCTGGGTGCAAAACATAATTCAGTATATTTTTAAAGAGTAATTTTATAAGCATTAATATTGTACTTAACGACAGAACTGAAATGCTTCGGAATATACAGTGACATGAAATACAAAACTGGACGCTTTTACCTACACAATATTTAGAACAATGTGTATAACTTTTTACAAATTTGCATAGGATCACCTACCAATGCTTTACTAAATAAGTGAATTACGGGTTTAAATGTAGGCCATGAAAAGTGCATTGTCAATTAAATTATAGGAGTAAAAAGGATGTTTTTGTTACCCTTTGAACCTCCAAGACAACTGAGGACAAGTACCTACAAATTTTCAGATGATGAAACCTAGTTGACTCCGAGTACATCACTCAAACAAGGTTGCCTGGGTGCATTTTTGAGAGTTGATGGAACTTCAGGATTAGCTGACAATGTACTGTGAGCTGCAGACTTCTGTCTTCAATCTGCCCCCCTACACAGGCCAGCGTGGAGAACTGACTCATTGATGGACTTTGGCTTGACCTTGACCACAGATTCTTTTTCTATAATGTTGGCAGGCCCGCGGGGGGTGGGCAGCCAGTCGACCTTAGACCCCCAGAGGGTTTTTTATTCCCTACCCATACCCAACAGCACTTTCTGGATTAGACTGCCCACCCCTGCACTATAGGGTAAGATATTTTTAAATAAATACATTTTTCTGTTATACCTGTTATATACAGGTACATGATACACCTTTTACAATGAAAAATATTATAACAGTAGCCTATTAGCCTATGTTCTTTCATTGTTCCTTCATACTTTGAGGGGTATAAAAAACATGATTTCCATTGCTCCATTATCCCTTGATACATACTGTAGCGACGGTGAGAGGCTCAGAGTAATGGAGCCCAATGAGTGCACTGAGCATGCTGGGAGTGCGTGTGTGTAGCCCTTGTATGCGTCTTGTTGTAAGTAGCCGTGTGTGATCGTAGCACAAATGTGTGTGCTCCCGACTTCGCATGTACCCTGACCGGTCGGTGCTGTATGTGTAATCCTGGTGTGGTCTAGTGATGTGTAATTACCCGCCGCGTGTGTGTCTTACTGTCCTTAGCGTAACTTCCCTCTGTTTCTCAGCCATTCTGTGCCTCTGTATATTGTTGCTTACTATCTTTTTCAGGACTATATAAAGAGCAACTTTGCGCAAAACCATCTCCTCTTGTCTTGTGCAGTCACTGCCCCTATGCATCGGTCTGGCAAGCGTCACAATATGTATTTATTCATTGCTATATTGTGTCTTGAGAATTAGGCTAAAATGTCAGAATCCCTTTCATTTGAGAGAGTAATGTATAATTATGTGCAACATACTTTATTATTACTGTGTTTAATTTTGGTAATTTCTTACTGTGAATAATTTATCAATTAATCTTTACCATATGTATGTACACACAAATCACGCTATATATGGGGTCCATGATTGCTCGCTACTATCCACAGTTTTGGCTGTCCACAGTAAATTTTGGAATGTATCACCCAAGGATAGGGAGAGACTACTGTAATTATTATTATTGGTATTAATAGTTATAAAGCTTAGGGAGCTTTGGTGGAGTCCTGCTGTTACCGTGTTCACTTTGCACACCAGCAGATCCGTTACCCCTGCAGAGAAGCGTTCTTTTCCACTATCTGACATTTCCGCCCTTATAATAGCAATCCATCACAGTACAAGTGCACCTGGCTTTTAAAGGGAATGGGAGATGACACTCTGATTGGTTTATAGCATGTTATGCCCCAAACACACCCCCCATGACTAATTCCGAAACTTAGTACTTAGTACAACCCTTTTGGATCGCCTGGTGCTGTGACTGTTTTTCTGTCGTTAAACTAGTAAAAATGGGTTGGAAATGCCCTAAAAGAACTTGCACCGTGCGCTTCAGACCATGCATGTTACATTTTTAAAATAGGACCTTCACTGGCATTCAAATTATTGCTGCCTGTTAGAAATGCTTGTTTTTTAAAGGCATTGTATGCATGCAGAATTAGGAGTCACATTTCTGAATAATATAATTTAAATATAACTGAAGTGCTGAGAAAAAAAACATAATTCTAACAGTATCACCATTTTACCCTGGAAACATTCCGACTCATTCAGCTATACCCAGCAATGCCTTTACTTACCTTGCCTGGTGGTCTTGAAGTTAAATGACTGGAAGCCCCCTGTAAATGTTGATGAGTCAATGACGTCCACCCCATAATCACTGTGGTTCCTCCGGTAGAGCATGACGCTTATCACAAGAATGGTTACAGCAATGACCCCAGCCGTCAAGCCGGAGTAGAGGGCCACATCGCTGCTGGCTTCCCTATCTACAACAAAGTAAGGTGGGGGGGGGGGGGTCAATATGACATAATCTGTCTGATATGAGTGAAGCCCCTAAACTCTCTATGTAATAATATTCTATTTTTTTACTCTATAATATAATATAAATGTATGCATAACCCTAGGTCTTAGTAAGTTATTCCTACATATACTAATTATATATAATATATCTGGTAAGGCTTTACATTAACTGCACCCTCATAATGCCTTTATAACGCATTCGTAGAACATTCAGTGTACCTTCATAATGCATTCGTAAAACATTCATAAGCAACATGTAACTATATCGACATGCTAACATACCTTAACAGCTTTAATATACATTAATAAACGGTACGGCTTTACATTAACTGCACCTTCATAATGCCTTTACAATGCATTCATAGAACATTCATTGCACCTTCATAATGCATTTATAGAACACTCATAAGCAGCATGTAAATATACCACAACATCCAATCATATCTTAACAGTTTTAATATACATTAATAACAAACATTATATGATAATAACATTATCTTTATAACTTTATAATCGTATAATGCTTGTCATTAATGTATATTAAAAGGTATGTTAGGATAAGGTATACTTATGAATGCATTATAAATGCATTATGAAGGTGCACTGAATGTTCTGAGAATGCGTAATGGGTGCAGTTAATGTAAAGCGTTATCATATATTTTCCCTAAGGGTCTGCATATGAAATTTGTATAATAAATCATATATCCACCTCCTGTTGAAATGTAAAAATGCACTTAATTTTCCACATTCTTCAGTTTGGTACAAATATGACAGAATATACATGTGCATTGCTGACTTAAGTTTTCTAGTTTTCTAGTTATTACAACTACATCAATCTTTTTTTTTCTTTTTTAATTCCTAATTGAGGCTGCTGCCTCATACTCATTATAGGAATATGTTAAACTAATGGAGTCTCTCTAAAATGATTGTAATTGATGTTGCACCTGACAATCATTTGTAAGCCGTAAAGACCAGGCATTAAAAAGCACTTGAATTTCACAAGGGAATACAGCACCATTAATTAAATTACCTCCTATGCAATAATTACACTCTATTACATCTAGAAAACACATCCGATTGTTGCACAGTTATTCTCATCACACCCAAAGGAAAAAAACAGTCTTCAAGCATGACCCTCTTTTTGGTCAAAGACTGCTATAGGACACTTAGCTTAGCAATCTGGACTTGCCTTCTGGTGTTGAGATGTTTATGTTGAATTGAGCTTACAGGACGCGTGAAAATGGTTACATGGTTTAGCTAAGATGCAGCTTGGTCAAATACACTGGCAATTCATTGTCATTATCTCGTGATGAGCTTCCATTGCAGGGCATGAACAAGAAGCTATTTAGAGACAGCACTTTAGCCAAAGAGTAAATCCACACAACACCGGGAGAGCAAATTAACATGGAAAGCAGAGTGTGATTTAAACCCTCAAAGCTGCAAGTGTGAGGTTACAAGGACACCTGCATTTTCCTTCAGCTAGGTGAGTACTACTAAGCATGTTTTATCTTTTTAACACTGATGCTGAAAACCTTCCTTTTCCCACTGGAAATAAACTTTCTCCCTGTATAGCATTTTAATTGTTAATAATAGCAAAATACATACAGGATAAGCAGTACAATAATACTGTAAACAAGAATTAATTTCTTGGGATAAACAGAATGATTTTAAACAATAACTTTCCATGATAGAAAGGAACATTTAGCATTTAGCTGGGTTGTAGTTGAGTGGTGTCTTATGGACCATCAGCGTGCTTAGGGTTGAGTAGCACAACAAGGATATATAATTTAGAATTTAGAATTTGGTGATCAGTGGTCATTGTTGACATACCACAGCACACAGTGCATGACAATGAAATGTGTCCTCTGCATTTAACCCATATGTGACATTGTGACATAGCAGGGGGCAGCTAATTCAGCACCCAGGGAGCAGTGCTTGGGGGCGGTACCTTGCTCAGTGTACCTCAGTGGTTCCTTGCTGGTCAGGGATTCAGATTGAATTTTCACTAAAGGACAACATGGTGCATACAATCAGGGGCAACTGGATTTTCCAATTAAATGATGTATGGTATTTAAATACAGGGGCTGTTTGTTAAGTGATATGGGGAACATGACGAATTCGTACAATACAGCAGCACTCACTCTGGGGTTTCACATCATGCAACAGCTTTCGATCTGCAAGAAAGGGTAGAGAAAGAGAGAGAGGGGGAGAGAAAGAGAGAACTTATATTCTGTTCTGGTTGTCAGACCAGCTGGAAAAGTTACCGCATGACATTGTGGAGTGATACACCTGGAGATATTCTGTAATCTGTCTTATATTGTCCATCTGTCAGCAGTCTTTTTCCACCTTCTTCCGGTAAGAGAGATTAAACTATTAAATAATGGATTAAATAATAATGCCTTGCAGGAACCATGAAAAATCACAGCATGACCAAACTGAGGACTGTTAAATTATTTTCATGTATTTATTGTGTAATATAATCTATCCAAAGCTTATACTCAGGGAAACATTAGAGGCATGGATATCTCAGGGCCCAGCCCTTTTGAGGGTACTTCACAGGTGTTCCCCTGCTTATAGTCGTACATATTACCTGTTTATACTGTACATCTGGGCAGTTTTCAGGGGTTTTGTAATGAGCGAATAACAGTGCAGGTTGGTGGGGAACTTGAGCCAGTACTCTTCGATTTGGTTACCCAGCAGTTACCTCCCAACGGCCATTCAAGCATGTGATATAAGGGCATCAGCAGCATCACTGATGGATGCTGATGCTAACGGTGGAGAAGCACTCACCCTGCGTGCAGAAGCCGCCTGTGCAGTTTTGTATGTGAAGGGCGACTCCCTCACAAAGCTTGCCGCCGTGCTTGGGCGTGGGGGAGGTGCACTGTCTGCTGCGCTGCCTCTCGCACTTGGAGCTGCAGGTCGCCCACTCGGGCCATTCCTCCCAGCCGCCATCCACTGCAACACACCAGAGGCAAGAGGACACCAGCTACTGCTGCTCACATTCTGAAATCCACACTGAGCAGTGGCCAAAGAGAATTAATTCATGTTTACATTTTTTCTGTTCAGATATATGAAGTACTGGCATCTCATCCAGGGTATACCCCGGCCTAACCCTAACCCCAGCCTGGTGCCATGTGTCCTGTGGCATGGGCTCCAAGCCCCCAGTGACCTTGAACAGGATTAGCAGTTAGAAGATGGATGGATGGATGGAACTTGATAGAGTTGCTAAGTACTGGTGTGTGTCATTCATCCAGTCCATTATTAGGTTACTCCCCGTTCTTGAAGGCATTCTTCTTCTTCTTCTTCTTCTTCTATTACCAAAGTAATAATGCATTTTTTTCTCATTTTACTTGTTCAACGATGTTATACTGAACAAGACCACTGAATTTGAACAGGGCCAAGATATTCAATGAATGTTTCAAGGAAGTGCTATTATAGTTTTGATCCATCTGGTCTACATGTTGACAATGTCTTTTAAAGTCCCTTTTCTCTTAATCTAAATGCAAATGACATGTTTACACAAATTCAATCCTTTAAAAAGAGCCTTGGATGTAGTTTCATTGCTGAATGTGCTTTGATAGGAGCTTCACAAATCACAAACACTTCCCATGTTATTGACTTTTGTCCATAGAGTCTTACGTTTTTTTTTCTGTATAAGACCATTGAAAAATAAAGATTATAGGGCCATTGCAATAACATATGGATTTTTTTGAAGGTTACATATTAACACAAGTGAAGGAAAAAAAAGTCATACAATGCATTTACAAAGATGAAGCCGTGTAAGTCCAACACTAACACACTAATCATCTGTTATCTGAAAGCTTCATAGATTTTAGATTTAATGATCAATCTGTGCAAAAAATACACAAGCTGCTTTACACTAAACTCCTTGAAGTAGCCACCCAATATGAAGGAGCTTCGATTAAAAACAAAATATTGCCATTAATGAATGTATCAACCAGTACAGTTTATAATACTTGGAATGGAGTATTTGTTAATACAACACATTCTAAGTACACCACACAAAATGCTTCAACATTCCTGTAGTTTTCCTCAGCCTCAAACCATTTATTCTTTGTGTATCTGCATCGTTAGACACCCTGAAAACACAACAGTGAATTAATTGTATTTGAGTAATTATCACAGCATCTTGTTAATTATGCCCGAGATGTGATAGAGAGGTTTCAGTCTTGCTCCCTGTACCATGCCATGGTTTGTTTTACTGAGCTTTGCTTTAACTCCGTGGACCGCTAGAGCATTAATACGCCTTCTTCCATTCTACCCAATTTCCAGAAAGTGCATATCCATCTCTACTAAACCAGTCATGATGTATAATTGTGTGCCCTGTGATGGGTGGGCATCCAGTCCAAAGTTCTTGGGATCAGCTCCAAACAGACACACATAACATGAATGCCAATACTTCTCATTTTTAAATAAAAAGATTGTGCTCTATGATGGCGTAGAATTCCATAGGCCACGTTCAGCACTTTTAATGATACTGTGATTTGTACGGAGCTCACTTACCTGGACAGAGTGCATTGCAAGTGCTCTTCTGCATAGACATGCCCTCACAGAAGCCCCCCCCATTGAGAGGGGCTGGGTTGGTGCAGGTTCGGGACCGCTTCTGGACACCCCGCCCACAGCGCACACTACAAGAAGACCACTCCGTCCACGACGACCAGCCCCCATTCACTGAACAGAGGAGCAAAGACTCATGGGTAGAATGAAGCAATTCCACCAGCAGATCAGGTTACTGACATTTGCATGGTTCAACAAACTGTGGCTCATACATCGTGATGCATTCAGTTTTAGCACCATGTAGCATTTTCTGAATATCCCAACAAAGGAAAAAATATATTTCCAATTTTAAACACTCTAACTTTGGTATGCAAAGCAAAACATTATTCAAAACATAAACAACATTAGTATAGTATAGTATAATATGGTATAGTATAGTTTATTTTTTGGTGGGACATATTGTGATATAGGGACATACTGGGTTAATAAATATTGACAACAGTAACAACACCATCTTAAGTTAAATTTTTGAAAACTTTTTTATGTGTTTATTGAGAAAATCATCTTAATCTTATTCATACCACTTTTGCTGGTTAGGGCTGCACTGGCAGCAAGCTAAGCAGGTCAGACCAGACCTCCCTCATTGGACGGCCTCACAGACCCTCGCTTGTTCTAAGGGATCCCCAGACATTCACAAGTCACCTGGGAGGTACGGTCCCTCCAGTATGTTCTGGATCTGCCTCGCTGTCTTCACCCACTGGAATGTGCTTGAAACAGCTCCCTTGGGAGTCTACTAGGGGACATCCTTATTAGGGGCTGTCCCTATAAGATGCTCAAACCACCACAGCTGGCTCCTCTCGATTTGGAACAGCAGAAACTGTATTTCGAGGTCCCACTGGATCTTATCACGGACAGTAATCATGACAGAGAAATATCATTTAGCTGCTTGTACTTGTGACCTTATTCTTTTGGTCATTACCCACAGCTCATAACAGGGAAAGGGACAAGGTTCATCTGATAATTTAACTACCACTATACCACCACAGACCTGTTCAATGCCCTCAAAACTGCAGCCACTGAACCAATACACCCATCAGTCTCTTATCCTTACTTGTGAACAAGATCCTGAAGTACTCAGCTCCTTACCTAAAGGGAATTCATGCTTTTCTGAAACATCATCAGATCAGGAGCTACTGAACCACACAAATGCGTAACCGAGCAGTGGCTGCCAACCCATCAATATTCCCAGTTGGTCATGACACTTTCTACCCCGGGACCTCCACCATCCAGCACAATAATCCGACTCAGCAGCATGCCACATTATTTTCCTTGTAAAAGTAAAAAAGGTGGGAGACCCCTGGCCCAAAGCGTGATGTCATCTGCAAATGGCAGAGATGCCACCTCAAGCCCTCCATACCAGGGGTCCTTCCAGCCACAGGCATACCCTGATATGCACAAACAGAGCCCTGCTGGAGACTCGTTTTTGCAGCACATCCCTCATACAGCTTCTCCAAGTCCACAAACACATACTGTATACACATTCTCACAAACCCTCACAAAACTGGGCAAGAGAGAAAGACTGATCCATTGTCACAGCCTGGCGGAATCATTCCTCCAGTATGCCAACATAGGCTGAGTACAGCTAGAACAGGCCCTCTGATCCACCACAGCCCCCACTTGCCAGGCCTCCTTCACCTCCTATGGTGTTTAACAGTTTTCCAAAACATCGTTGCATCTCCCCGCCTCTCTCCATTGCCTCTCCAAACTCCTCCCAGGCATGAGCTTTCCAGACCTCTGCTGCCTTCTTTGCTGCTTTAGTGGCATGTCAGTGCGTTTCAGCTGTCTCAGGAGACACCCCCCACCCCCCCACCCCCTTACAAGCACAGCCTTAAAGGCTCCTCTTTCAGCTTGACAGCTTCCCTCACCACAGGTGTCTACCAGTGGCTTCTAGGGTGACCAGCATGACAGGGACCAACAGCTTCCCGTTCAGCATTAGACCCAGGAGGTTATTCTTCATAATCATCCTCCTCCAGGTTTCTCCAGTGTTCCCCACTCCTTGAAGGCTGCCAGTAGGATCACAAAGTCCCTGTGGACAGCTATGCATTTAAATGGCTTGTGGAGAGGTTCAGGTAGTCACTACAAGGGCAAAGATACACAAAATATACATGATGGACAAACGTAAATATCATAAATAAAAATAATGTATAAGATAGAAGATAAGATAAACAGATTTTGTTGATGTCTATGGAATAAGACTAGGAAGTAACATCAGTAAAGTGACTTGCTACAAAGTAGCATAGTAACAGTTCATATATCCTACACTGCTACATAGTGGTAGAGTGAAAAGAGTTGTTCAGTAATCTGATGGCCTGCAGGTAGAAGCTGTTCTTTTGCTCAGCTGTCTGTGATTGGATGTTCCTGTAATACCTGCCAGATGGCAGCCTGCAATATAGATCTGGACGGCTGCAGTCAGATGCCATTTTGAGGGCATTATTCAGGCATTGTGAGCAATAAATGTCCTGTAAGGCCGGGAACTTGTTGGCAATGATGAGCGCTGCTGTTCTCAACGCTCTTTGGAAAGTCATCCAGTGATGAGTGGACCAACCACAGCTTCATACAGTAATGCAGCCAGTCGGGATCCATGCTACAGCACATTTGCAGGAGTTTGTAAGGATGCTAAGGGGCATGCCAAAGAATCAAAATGCTAATCGGCACTTACACACAATCAACAGACAGGGTTTTCTTTACTGAAACTCACAGTCGCACTGAAGCAACCATCTTGTCTGCTAGAAAACTCCAGCTGCACAGCCTTTAACCTGGAAGTGAGTCGTTTCACCAGGAGAAACTCAAAAGCAGGAGAGATTCCAGCCATGACTGAGAGTTTTGGTTCCAGACCCCACAAAATCTATGGAGGGTGATTATATCTAGTCAATATTTTTCCATCCCCATGAATTCAGGCTCCTTCCCTGATAAAAGTGACTGTCCACATCCCCAAAGCTAATATCCATTGCCAAGATCAAGACCACCTGGATCCTTCTGGCTGATCCTTGCCACCTGAATGGCACTGAAACTGACCCCAATCTTTCACCTTACAAGTGGTGAGCCCCCAGGATGGCAATAGACATGATGACATGAACGCATTCGTGGTCATGCCATGTCATGCGGTAATGCAAACTTCAGTGGGTCTTACCAAAAACCAGCACCGCCGCTGGGGCACTCCGTCTCTTGGCCACCACATTGCTGGCCTGGCAGCTGTAATTGCCGGAGTCTGACAGCCGGGCTTGAGTGATGATCAAGCTGTTGGCCCGTGTGTCAATATTGTCGTCATTGAGTGAGGTCAACAGTTCCTCATTTTTCAGCCACTCCACCTGGTTGGAAAAATATAAAACACAATCTTTACGCATGCAGTTACTATCAAACAACTACGACATCAGCAGCTTCAGACCTGCATGCTTTATTGGCTCCCACTGCAACAGGTAGGAAACAATCCCATCAATCAACCCGAATGTATTCATGACAGAACAGCTCTCACAAGGTCGTCACAAAGGAAAGGTTAGATTGCCAGAGGAGAAAAACCAAAATGTATTACATTTTCAGACTTACTGTAAGAAAAATGTTTAAGCAAGACTGGAAAAATATGAAAAAAATGATATGAAGCATGAAAAATATCTATGGTTATTCGTTTAGGATTCATTTGCATAGTTTCAGTATGTAAGTTTATCTGTGATGCCTGGGATCTCTGCACCCTCCCACCATGACCAAGTCCTGGATAAAGCAGCTAGAAGATGTCGCTGGACGGACGCGCGGCCGCTTGCTACAGCTTATCTATGCACATGCTACGCTATATGCTAATCAGCCCTGAAAGTTTTCTACATTTAAGTCAAGGCAGCTTTTATAGTATATATTTTATTCAGTTTGGTCCTCCCCTTTAAGTATTTTCAATCTTTTATTTGAATAGCATTTTCAGACTGTTTTTTTTTTTTTTGCACATATGTGGGTAATTCAGGTGTTTGTCTTCTTTTAGAACCCTGGTCTGCTTTGTACAATATTTTATTTTCCAATACATTCATGTGTGGAATATTTTACATCTACCGCAATATTTATGCAAATATTTGTGCTATAAAGTTGCAGGATATAAACTGCTGCTACTGCTCTCCTACACTGCAGGTGCCTTATTCCTCCGCGGTAGATGCTCACAAAATATATGATAGCTGAGGCCAGGCTGCTTAGCTACAGCTGGGTACTTCGCTGCGGAGCCATACTAATCATTTCTTGTGTTTTTAACTTAGTACTTGGGTAATTACAGATTGTAATCACTACCTACAAATTGTGTTTTTGCTTTTGTCTAGAGGCATGTAGGGATGAATAATTTATAGAGTGGTAATGAAAATACAGCCCAACCCCTTCACAAAACAGAAAGGTCTGTTTACATGCATCCAGACCTCTTTGAGAACACAGTACTCACATAGTTGGCGATTCTGTAGCCTTCTGGGGTCTGTATTAAGGCCCCCGAAAGAACGGCTGATGTTTTGAAATCAATGACTCCAGCGTTATGAGATTATTGCTTAATTTCTGATAACAGGGAATGCTTTCATCATTTAATTCTATTGGTTATACGGTTACTTCAGAGCCTTCAAAGTGGCTGTAGGCTTTTCTTCTTCCTTTCAGCACAGAATTAATCGCAGTACTTCCTCTATAATTATTTTCCATTTGCCTTTTTGCTTTATTGTCAATAGCCACAAAAACTGAGGTTGACTGAGGCTGCCTGGCAGGCATGTCCTGACACATGTAACATCAGTTAACCTTTAGCAGAAAAATTGGAAGTAAAACGATTCTTTGATTAGTCTATAAAATGGATTATATTTTAATTAAACAACAAGTGACTCATTACATTATCAAGTCTCATGGTAATAATAAAAAAAAAATGGTAACAGAAGCATTAAGTATGTGTGTCAATTTAAATATTTGCATGTGACAAATTAACATGTTTATTAGCACGAGAACATTTTTCTGTAGTCGAGTTACAATCAGTTATATATAAATAACATGTTTTCAGAACAATATGTAAATTCAAAAATACAAACTGTAAATGTGGACAAACACCTATACATGAATCGCTGAGTTACCTATTTACAACTGCCTGACGTTTACATTATATATAATTTATTATTTAAAAATACCACTTTAAAAAATATCACTTTATTAGGGAGAGCTTTATTGCTTACGTCTGTTTTTCTATACTCACAATGAACCTTAGGGACTTTCAGCTATAATCAGTTAACCAGATTGCCAGCCTAGGAATAGCAGCCTATTTTCTGCATTCCTGAAATAAAATGAAATAAAAGCTGAAAGGAAGGATTCAGGCAGACAGGCAAAGTGTTTTTCATGCTCTGTGTTTAAGAAAAGAAAGACGGTGCTGGACTGCAGACCAAGGCAGATGGATCAAAAGGTCCTTACTGACACAGTGGCCACTGATCTCTTCCGGACAGATTTCCCATTCATCGTCCGGCTCCTCACTCCCAAACGGGAGCTGGCACTGCGCATGTGTGGCAAAGCTGCAGCTACTCCGCGGAGGGCAGTCCCTGCGTGCACCAGAGTCCGCGCCCGGGGTGGACCGCAACTGTGAGGTGTGGTGGTACCAGAGGAACGGGACAGATGCCGATGCAGGTGGTCGGAACTGAGGATTACGGGTCACAGTTTGTGTCTGTGTGGGTGTGTGTGCTGGTGAGCGGAAATTAGGGAGAGTCCGCTTTCTCATATCAGAGATGGCTAGTGTACAGAATTGCTTGTATTCACATGCAACCTTTACAATAGCTGAATTGAGCGTAATGGATACACTTTCAGTGTATATTATAATGATAATAATAATAATACTAATAAAGAAAAAATATCAGCATCATGGTAATTTAAGAAACATATTGGGAACTGCTGGCATCTCAGCGAAGGTGCCCCCTGCTTAGTCTCCTGTGCTTCCTGGACTCAGCTGTAAGCTCACCCTGACCCTGACCCAGATCTGTGGTTAAGGGTGATGGATGGCTATTGGAATCGCTGTTTCCTGCACATCCCCCCACAGTGTGCAGTATATATGCTAAAATATGATGGCTACTCTATAACTCGTGGTGTACAGCAAGCCCCAAGGGATCGAATCAAAATCAGCTAGAGGTCTCAACATTTTTGCCTTTTTGTCCGTTTTGTCTTTCTAGTGCCACTGAAAGACAGCAGCCAGTGTAATCAGCCCAATGTGTCTCTTAATCCTGGTCTTCCTTCCACAAAATTACAGCTTCTGAAGGAGACGTGATTAACAACATTTTAAAGGACAGTCCAAATTAGGCCAATAGGTGTGTGCTGGAGGATGGAAGAAATTAATTTGCCTAATTGCCACATTTTTAAATTAAAAACCCAGCAGGAGAAGATGCTAGGCTTTTCATCATGGAAAGTTCAATTTACTCAGGTCATTAGCTTTAACTTGCCCTGCTGATAGGGGGCTTTGCAGAGCTCTCCATTGTAGGCCGTGTTCTGGGACTCTACGGCATGTGTGATCACCCAAGGAGGCGTGATGCTTGATGCAGACTGCGCACAATCAACCGTGCTGGAAACTAGCAACTAATGTTGATTCAGCTGCATGGCACAGTTCAGCCTGTCATGTAGTCATTGATCTTGACTGAGTTGTAGGAGAAGACGCAAAATTCCAGTCACTTTTGGACAGTACAATGCCTCTGCTCTAAGAAAGAGACACTGAAAAACTAAAGAAGAAAAGAAAAAACAGGTCTTGTTGGCCTTAATATTAATTTTAACTTAGATTCCAATTTCCTGCAGATGATAAATCTGAGGTTATTGTTGATTTTAAATGCTGCTTTGCATTACAATGATGGAGAATGAAAATACAATGAAAACGATGGAGAATGAAAATAAACAGAAGATGCAAACTCCAATGATGGAGTATTTACATGCTTGATGCAAAAACTGAAAGGCATGATGGAGAATGAAAATAAACAGATGATCCAAATGCCAATTAAGGGGTAGTTCTATACTGTTCAATACTCTGTAGAAGAACTGAAAGGCATGATGCAGAATTAATCTTTTTTGCAAAATAGTGAGATGGTTGAAACAAAGACCTCTGAAGGTGTCCTGTGGTATCTGGCACCAATATGGTCAGTCATATATGTTAAATGTTTTGTGATAATAATATTTAGTAGTAATATACCAGCCCTGGGTGCCGATTCGCTATTTGCTGGTGTCATGAAAAAGCAGCAGAAAAGGACACAACAACACATTGCATGCTATAATAAAAGAGCACTCTGCCACCAAAGACACAAAGCATAACAAGGACAGTTGTTGTGGTTGCCTGTATGTTCTGCCGGGAAACCCAATGTGCCTTGGTAAATCTCTGGAGGTGTCCTTATCAGTACTCTTCTCAAAAGCCCTGCCTTCCACTTTCATCCAGAGAGGCAGAACACAGAGCCTGAAGAGGCCTGGCATGTGATTTTCCTTAGGCTGGGTTATTTTTCCAACTGGAAAATTGCTGAATATACAGAAAAGTAAGTAACTTATCCTCATAGGTAACCCATGGCGATAAGAAATTCTCACATTCTTTGCCAAATGCCTATGAATACACTTTAAACATCCCATTGTACAGCACTATTTCTTCTGCATTATTTTGTACTGTAGATATGACATGTCATTAACATTTAAATAATTATAAATGTGAAACAGAAAGCTGAATATAGACATGGCTTGTAAGTTACATTCCGTCAGAATGACTGATTAACCCAGGTGTGATTCAGAAATCAATCAGAATGCACATGTTAAGGGGATGGAATGTATAGCTGCACATTTTTGGAGAAAGCACTGATGATTTATTGACCTCTGTCAGAGATTAGGGATTTATCTCACCTCCCCACCCCACCCCTCACACCCCCAAACTGCTTCTCTGCTTGCTAAATTTACTGTAAGCGTAAAGCTACAGGTTTACACACACATCCATCAGCTGAAAATTACTTCTGCTGTGTCCTTGTTTCAATCAGCGTTACTGCTTGTTGACATACGAGAGTAGCCAAAACACAGAAGAGGGCCCATAATGTACGTACTGGGAAGGACTTTGGATCTGGGAACAAAAAAATGATTTAACCACTGTAGGGAAAAAAATAATAAATAAAAAAACATACATCAAATAAATCTTACTGGATAACAATAACCTTTTATCCTTCCTGACTGCTGGCTCTAAAGCACTACATCTAGAAGCAAAAGGGGGAAATTTGACACCAGAAAATGATTGTGCACTCAAACACTATGAATATTGACAATGTATAAAAAAGTCATAGAAGTATCACATGGGTCAATGAAAGAACAAAGTCATAAGTCCAATGACTGGATCTTCCTGCTGGGGAATGTTCACCATGACCCCTTTCACTCTCTAAAGCCCTCCGATCCAATGGTTCTTTAAAAGAAAGAAAAGAAAATATATATTGTGCTCCTGACAGCACCGCAGAGTATTTTAAAAAGATTTCTTTCCTGCCGCTGTGATGGTTGCTCATTGCGATGTGACAGCTCTAGTTGCAATGACCTCATTTGTCTGATAAACTGCACAGCAGTCGACAGACTTTCTGCGCTGCAACATCCAGGAAGATCAATTTGTCATTGGAAACAAAGAAATCCAATTCAATGCAGGTCTGTCACCATATCCCACAGATGCACAAAAATAGCTTGTGAGCATCTCAGTACCGGTGCATGGAAGGAGGTTATCTGATATGACGTTTCCCTAAAATCTGAAAAAAGGATATTGCTTTAATATTATTTTTCAATAGAAAGTCTACCAAAAGAGGATGCAAACGTTCAAGCGATGGGAAAAAAAGATAAAATAGGAAATGATATGAATGAATGATCTCAGTGCAACTGCAAACTTCTACATAGTTGTATGCTGGTTTGACAGGTCTTACAGATAATTTATTGACAACAAGGGCTGATTCCTTTTTTGTGCGGCTCTGCATTTCTTTTGTGTAAGTGCAATTGTGAATAAGCCTGCCATTTTTATTTTTTGATGATCAAAAGCAAAACTCATTGATTTAAAAATCTTTAATGCAAATTATTCTGGATTCCTTTGACAATCCCAGACAAATCACCATCACTTGATAAGCCGATCATTTATTTGCTTTATTTGCACTTTCCTTTTCTGTCTCATTCATTCATTCATGCAGGTGTATCTATCTGTATATCACGCTGTACATATGTGTGTGTGTGTGTCCCCTAAAAGGAAAGCAAGACGGGGTATGCTAAAAGAAGCATTTCAATGTACCTGTATTTGTGCAAATGACAACTAAAGCCTTATTTCATTTCAGGTTTTAATTACATGTACCTTGGAATAGCTGGTATGAAAGCTACATCTCTTACACGGTGTTCCATAGAGACTCTGTTACCTCTGCGGCTGGGACTCCATCTGGAGGACGACAGTGCAGAACAATCATGCCCTTGATTGGTACCTCCTTCCCTTGGGGGTCCTGCTCAAAGTTCTTCCGCAAGTCTGTTCATGACAATAAGAATAACGATAAGCAGCTATCATTGCAAAGCAGGTCCAGTCTGCAGCTCTGTGTCGTCAGATCGTTACGTTCATAATGATATAGCACCAACCGTCATACAAATAAATGTCTTATGAAGCTCTTTAGGGATCATGGACTGATTTTAGATGCCTGTTGAAATTGTGTGACAAGACATATGAGCTTTAATTATGGGATAATTAATAGTCACATATCTTTTTAGGGTAAGTTCATTTAAACCACATGTGCTTGGACTGGGTGAGGACAGGCACGGAAACCTGCAGAAAAGATAAAGGACAGAGCCTGATTCTACTGTATATAGTAAAGTACAGGAATCCCCTGTGTATTTATCATATAATTCCTGCTTTTACTATATGTTAGTGTTATCCATCCATCCATACATCCATCCATTTTCTGTAACAGCTAGTCCTGTGTAGGGTCGTGGAGGGTCTGGAGCCTATCACTGAGGCTACAGGCGCAAGGCAGGGAACAACCCAGGATGGGGCGCCAACCCATCGCAGGGCACAGTCACACACCATTCACTCACAATGTTAGTGCTATTTTAGGTTTTATGAATTGTATGGTCTGATTTGGTAGGTTATTCTTTGGGTCTGGAAACAAAAAAAAAATCCCATATAAACAAATGGTAATTGCTGCTTGGCTTTATGTCATTTCGGCTTACGAAAGGTTTCACAGCAATAGCAGGGATAGTCATAGATGTTTGGAATATGCTGACTTACACGCTAAGCGCACGGTAGCCTTCCGCGTCTTGGAGGTGCCCAGATGGTTCCAAGCCACACACAGACACCAGTAGTCCTCAGGGCCATGGAAATCCTCCACCTGCTGACGGGACACATTGATCATCACCTCACGGATCTTCAAACCTAGGAAGCAAAGAGACAGGAATTGAGACAATTGCTTCAATGTAACTAATTTTTCAAGATCAAAGTAAAGCGACAGATGGCATTGTATGTTTTTTAATGGGACCCAGCAAACACCAACTTAGGGTTTACGGTTCTGTTTATTCAACTGTGCAGTCATTCCTGCCAGATTATCAGGAGTCACCAAATGTTTGATATATTTAGGATAATGCCTTTTATTTAGTCCCTGACTGACATCTGTATAATCGATGAGGTAACTTACTATCAGAAATAATATCCTCAATAAGTAAATGAAAGAAGAGACCAGGACATTTACATTTGGTGTATGAGGGATAAGACAGAAGAAAGCTTCACTGGAAATAAGCCAATGAATATCAGTCACACCGCATGATGGAAGGCGAAATGATACTCGGCTCCTTGAAGACCAGCTATTCCTCTTTCAGAGCTGACGTGAGGCTGCCAGGTACCTTGTAGTCGGTCCGTTGAACAAAAAGGCAAACAAGCCCTTCAGGATACCTTCAGCCAATGCCTCCTTAGTAGGGGAAGGTGACTCATATTCCGCATTGTCAAATGGCAGCAAAGCACCCTGTGAGGATGGACGTTATTGCCCCTCTGCTGCACTGATACCAGCAATAGCACGATCTGAAATCTCAGGCAAAGGCAGAACTCTGTCCCATTTTTGTGACAGACTTAGATCCCGTCCCAGTGACGTGCAAGTAGCCGGTAGACTGTTAGGCACAGTATCTAAAAGTCTTTTCAGGTCCTCTGCCTCTCATCAGCACTGTCTGGATCATCTCTTAACCGTTTGATATATAACATGGTTTGTTTCGTCCGAGTCTTTTTCTTCTTCTGTGACCCTGTTCCACTTTTTCCTCATTCTCTTTTTCCACTGCAACACACAAGAGCCTCTTCACTCATCTCTAAAATGATAAGTTTTCTGTGCCAATGGCTATGGACCAAAGACAAAATCCCAATAATATTCTGTCATTATCATTTAGCATCATAAGCTCTTTACCTTGCTAATTCAATACTGGGTTGCGGTGCACATTGCAAAATAGCCAGCCTGCCAGTCCATCCCAGGACACACTCACACACCTGGCGAATTGCTGAGGCACCCAAAGAGCATGGTCTTGGACTGCATGCGAAAAGCAGATAGAGTCTTGGAGCAGGGGCTGAACCGGCGGCACTGGAGGTACAGTATATGGTCACAGGGCTTCCCATATATATAGCTTACAGTGGGTGATAAATACCTGCCCAAGAAAAGAAATTTTATATTCAATCAAGCTAGACCTTTACTGTTTTTAGGAGGGGGGTGGTTATGTATCAGTTACTTAGTGGCAAATTCCCAAATAAACAATCTATCCTCCTTCATTGTCAGTGAATAGTATCTGTTGGGAGCCTAATGAATGGAATATCTGCAGTGAGTAAATCAGATTTCCCTCTTTTCCTTCCTAAATCCACCAGCATCTGCCTTTTTACTACCTCATTACATATTTAGACAGTAAAACTAAAAACTCAAGCCAGATGTTCCACTTAAAATGTCAAAAAGCTAAATGACTCTGGAATGCAAAGAAGTTATACTAAATGTAATCCAAAGCAATTCTGTTCATCATGTCTTTGTATGACTGACACTTTCACCTAAAATGACCAATGAGGTCCAGAATGTTTGATTATCCCAATATTTAGATAATTATGCTGAAAACATTCAGAAACTGAGCAACCATGCTGAATCATCACCATCATTAATGTCGAATATAGAATCCCAGAAGGCCTTGTAATTTGACCGATATTGTTCTTGCTTTATACACTGCAAGTTGAGATGATCAAACCAAAGCATAAAATTAACTCACTTCATATTGTAATTCCTTCCCTGCTGATGCCACCGAAATATATCTCAGTCAGACCTTATGGCACTGTCTCTGCTGTCTCCCGTTTCACTGGAGCAAAACACTTCCAAAAAGCAGCTGAAATTCTATAATCTGGAGGTACCAAATCTGACACAAATGCCTTGTTGACAATTTCTAACTCTGAGGGCTTAAACTTTTGATTTTGTGAATCAGCTGGAAGCTCAGGTGTCATTTTGGGGCAGACCTGTCTTCCAGTATCCATGATCATTCCAAATACAGGGTATGCTGACGACAGCCATTTATCTCAAGCAAATTATCAAGAAGCAAAGATGGTATTCTTATAGCAAAGAGTAGCTAGAATCATATTCATAAGCAAAAAATATGACATTATACCTGATCTTGTATCTCTTCATTGGCTTCTTGCTCAGTTAAAATTGGAACTGAATATTTCTGACTTCACTTATAAGACTTACAAGTCAGGCACCTGCTTATCTGAGGTGATTAATATGTTCAGTTCTCAGCTTATTACGTTGAACTCTCATATTGTAGCATTCGGGCCCAACGTAAATGAAAACCACATGTAAATAAATGATCCTAGATTATGGAACTGTTTGTCAGGCAATTCAATGGATGAAACTCATGTCTTGGAATTTAAATATAGATTGAAGACTTGGCATTTTAATTTACCACCTGGAATACTTTTGTATCTTCATATACTTTTGTAATACCTTGGGTTTACAGTAGGTCTAACTGACTCTGCTTCATTTCAGTCCAGCACTGGTGCTGTCTGCGCTTGGCTACAAGGCACAGGTAAGCCAATACAGCACAGGTTGCCCTATTGACCATTAGAGACAAATGTAGATAATAGCAAGAAGTCAAGTTAAGAGTGTGAAATTTAGTGATGACATCAATTACATATTTATAAGTCGTATAACAGTGGTAGGATGTTACCTAACCCTAACCCTAACCCTAACCCTAACCCTGAGAAGTCTGTTTTTAGTTCCATGACCATCTTCATTTCCTCTCCTCTGTGTTCGTTTTATATTCAGATTTAAGAACTGTACATTATGGCAATAATAAGATGCTGTTGTTTTAAAATATTTTATTGAGCAAATGTACTGCATATGTCACTTTATAAAGTAAATATCTGAACTCAACTGAATAATACAACAGTCAAACCATACAGTATATATAAATAAATAAATAAAGTCAAGTAAAAAACATTGCATGGACAGACATGTAGAATGAGGAAGATCAACATTACTGACTTCTGCGGTGAAACAAGTATGTCAGTATTCTTCTTTGAGAGGTTTTTGGTTTTTTTTTTTAAAGAAAAATTAAATGGTCAACGTGTTCAGGAGAGTAGTGTCCTATGTCACCTGCCTTACTAAACACACGCTCTGAAGGTAGGCTATCTTGTGAGCTACTTATAAATGACCAAGTCAGAATGATCTACCTACTATAAAAATGCAAAACATATATTTATGTCTAAAAATATTGAGTATTCTTTAATATAACTATTATTATTTATTATTATTACTATTATTATTATTAATTTCCCTTTGGGATAAATAAAGTATTTTTGAATTGAACTGGGATTTTAGTTCCTTCACCTTTCTATTTCTCAGCTCGGTTTTCAGAGGGAAGTTAATGTCATAGTTTCTACAGTATGAACAGTCCGAAAATGCCACTCCCTTCTTCGGAATAGCAACGGTAGACTGACAGATGAGGCAAATGCACTTTGAATATGACATTGTGGAAAATGTCCATATGGAAGTGGCAGGTTTTTGGCTTCTTACTTGGTCCAGCTCCCCCATTCATTCTTATACCCTTTCTTAAGTTTAGTAGAAATAAATTGGAGGCTAACTAGGCGACTTGGTAGCTTGCTGCAGCTGGTGCGGTTGAACACGTCATCCATCCTCTATTTTTTATGCCATACGATCTACCCACACTACCTTTGCAATCGACCAGTAGATCGCGATTGATATATTGGGCACCCCTGGTGTAGACCGTGTATATGTCGGAGTGGATCATGAAAACAATAATGGAACAGGTGAGAAAATAAAAATGCATGTATCGATATTTATGCGGTCACATCGATGCATCGGATTGTTTGCTGTTGAATCGATCTATTGATACAAATCGATGTATTGTTACACCCCTAATATATAGATATATGTGATATATGTGTGTGTGTGTGTGTGTGTGTATAGCTAGTCAGTTAGAATTGACTTTAGACCATGTGCTCCATTGACAGTACCCCAATGCTCTTATGGCTATTTTAACTTCATTGTGATACCTGTGCTACTTTGTCAACATAGTTATATAATTACAAAATGTATCAAAAAGTAACCTTTCAAGATTGAGAAAATCATACTGAGGCATGTGTATTGAAACATTGTCCCCTGGGGGTGTCCTCTAGTTCAGAGACACTGATGCAGCCTCATCTCCCCTCAGGGCCACCCTCAGTCTCTGCCTTTACTTCTGCCATTTACACTCAGGGGTCTGCGTGTGGCTAATGTACCCTAGGCTTATCATACAAGACAATGCATTCACAACACGTAAAGTGCTAAAATTAGCAAAAGGGTTACAAAATCACAAAAAATGCTGAATGCTAGACTGTGATACTCTGATGCACAGCTGCATCCTCTGCTACAGAGACACTGAATGACTGTCTATACCACCCAATTAAAACTTAGATCGGGAAATACTGGAATAGTGCCGCTTTTTAAAATACGAACAAAATATGGTATACCCGATTATATTGTCTGTACGGTATCATGGAAGTAGAAAATAGATCCCAAGCACACCTGTGTGGTCGGGGGGGGGGGGGTGGCAGTTAAATTTGCCGAACTGGGTAGAGAGAGGTTGAACAAGTCAAACTCCTTTTACCGATGCAGGATGGTGGAATGACAGATTTTCAGGGCGATGTGTCGCAGGTGTAGGGGAGCTGCTGTCAGCTTTCAGGAGATGCTGGGACCTTCCGGGAGAAGTGGGTTGTCTGTCTTTGTGCCTGTGACCAGAAGTTTGCCAGTTCAAATCCCGTGGGTGACAAAAACAGAACTGTCACATCACCACTGAGCCTACTGCACAGACACTGGATGAATGGCTGACCCTGCACTCTGTCCCACAGCTCCATCCTCCGCC